GAGACAAAGTACGACGAATATATATATATATATATATATAGAGCGATAATTATCGATAGCAAAATAAATAATTAAATGTCGATAATTAGTGATCATTAGGGCGCGATAAACCATTTCCTTCCTTTCGTGTGCCTTTGCGTTCCACTTCCCATATTGGGAACTAACACGGGAACGGGAGAAGAGTACTTTCGATTCGCGTATAAATTCGCGCGTAAATTAATGCAGGAAAAACTGGTGGCGTAACACGCGGTAGAACCTCGACGTAATGCACGCCGAAGAACCTTCTCATTTCCTCTATGCAAATTATTTGTTTTCTAATAACCTGCTTTCTGCTAATCTGTGTTTCGATCGATCGTTTTCTATAATAATTGTTTCTCTTATAATAATTCGATATTATTACACGGTGCATTTAAAAATGGCGAATGTCATTCACAAATATGACTCATTATGCATTTAAATTGATCATTTTCTATTAACCTTTCAGGCGATAATATATCAATAAATTTCAATAAAAAAAAAAACCTTACGTACCGCATAATTAGAATATAATTAAGCCATTAACCAATTCTTTGTTCTCAACAAGCGAGATAGAATTTGTTTATAAATTTATCAATGTATTTGATTTATAACGCTCTAAAGTAGTACATCACTACTGATAACATCTATATGATTTTCGAAGTTTCTAAATCTTCTTTTTAGTTTTTTTTCTGATCTAATCTAATCTGACTGATTAGATTGTAGACACTGTAAATTATAATAAAAGAAAACTTTGAAAAAATATTGTACATTGTTTATCGCAGCACTTATGATATTCCAACGACAAATTTCTCAAGAGTAGAACTCATGGGGGAAGCACGAAAGAATCAAAAGGGGAATGAAAAGATGATATTTATGGATGTTATTTTACAAAAAGACTAAAAACACAGGCGCCATTTTAGTACTATTATGTGTGCTTTATTATCATAAAATTCTAAATCTACTTTTTTTTCTTTAAGGGATATTGAATTGACTGTATCTACTTATGAATACGTCGAAATGTATTCTTTGAAGGACTCACGTCTAATCTTTTAATATTTCAGGTAGAAGGTGAATTTTCAGAAAATGGAAGTGATGATCAGGTAAGTTTCTTGAATTGAATAGACGGAAAGAATGCTCTTTTGGTGGTCTTTAACATGTCTCAACAAGTCTTCGAAAAGATATAAAAAGAAAAAGTAATATGAGGGAGGAGTTTTCTCGAATTTAGAAAACTAACTTAAATGACTAACTAATTAACTTATATATATATAAACTTATATATAAACTTGATAAAAACTGAAAAACTAATAAAGACATTTCCTCAAATTTCATCAAAAATTACCAATTAAAATAGTATTATAATTTTTTCTTTTATATTAATTATAATATAAAATATCAAATTCAGAAATAAGAAATTTGCAAATATATAGTGAATATATAATGAAGATTGTACAAAATTTATTCCTCCAGTATTAACATAATTCTTCTGGCATGTAATATTTTTGAAATAAAATGTAATGATAACAAATCACAAGAAATATGCAGATTTACAATCTGCATAAATTTAAAAAATCTAAGTTTAATATTTTTATTATCTAAGTCTTTATAAATTTAATGGTTAAAAGAATGGCTAGAAAAAGACTACATTTAGACAGACAAAAAACAAAAACGTTCCGTAAGATTTTACCAAAAGTGCTAAAAGAGTCTATGAAAGAGAGATAATCCTAAATAATCCTAAAATTTAAAAGAAAACAACGTTTTACTCTGGAAGGGAAGGAATGGGGAAAGTCTGTGAAGTTGACATCTCATCTTTCTGCAAGATTTAATTGCAAGTTCTATTTGCATCCGCAACAGTTCTTCTAATTCCTAGGTTGAATACATTTTTAATTTCACCACAAGAGTAAAGTATCACATTGCGGAGAGTTCTAACCGACGTTTTGATATTTTTTTTTATGCATCTGTGATAGTTCGAACGCTTTGTTTGGATTTTATCCAAAATTCTCTATCATAGTACTTTATTCTTGTACTAAAATGCCACGCACTTAAAAATTGTTCAAAAATAATTAATGAGCGAAATTCTCGACAAAATTCAAAAAATGCTGGAAAAAATGCTGGAACTACTGCAGAATTATCGAAAAATGCTAAATAATCGTTTAGACCTCGCTGTAATATCGTACTTTATTCTTGTAGAACAGTTAAACCAATGCTCAGGCTTAAAAATTGTATAAATGCAGTTAAAGATTCTTTCTGGAACTTCAATCAGAAACTGTAAAATTCTTCTAGAACTATAATATTAGATGATTAAAATAAATTTTTTTTTTAAATTGCGATGCCACGGCAAGTTGGCATCTCATATTTTCAAAGTGCCATTTTTGTATTTCGATGGAACTGGATCGTTCTAAATCTGTCAGAAAATGTAGAAACTACTAAAGAAAGAACTAACTTTCGGATACTTGCAAATGGAATTTGCATTAAAACTTGCAATGCAGAAAGATGAGATGTCAACTTGCCGCACAAGTATAGGGAAGGGGGTGAGAGGGGCTTGTTGAAATAGGGAAGGTACGAGGTAGCGAGGTGCAACGACGAAGTTTCCCACGACAGGTGACACGTGAGGACCCGGCAGTCACGGCAGTGCAAGGTGGATCAGGTTGGGAAGCAGAGATGCGTGGTGGGGGGTGGCATACCACCAGAGGCATCTCCGAAAGCCGCGAGAGAATATACTTCAAAGGCGAACCTAAGGGCTCCCCTTTTCCTCCTCGGACCCCCTCCTATACTATCTGAAAACTGCGATAGCCTGTGATGATTATCGTTACAAGAGACTCAATACAGGCAGACCCACAATTTGCAATTTATTTTCAGTGACCCGGATCCTCTGATTGTCGTGATTCTGTGAATTTATTTTTCCTTGGAAAAAAAGATATTGGAGCGACAGAGGTACAAGCGAAATAAAAAAAATAAGTTGTGAGCTGAGTTTCGTCAGTCAACATTTCAGATTAATTTTAAATTAAAAAGAATCTTACGTGGAAGACTTATTACAAATATAAAATATAAAGTATAAAAATATAAAATGATGATAAATAATGATGTATAGTGTTAACGCCAAAAGAAAGTCAATTCTAAATTTCGATCAAAGAGAGAAGGTGAGAGCACGTGCTGCTCATTTATTCGATAGAAAATACAGGACAAGTTGTAATATAACCAACATATGCCTTTTTTTATACTCGTGCCATCTTTTTCTTCCAAATTCTTAAAATTCTCGCATTGACAATGACGTCGTCCGTTTACTCGAATATGCTAATTAACGCATTCACGTCGATTACTGCATAACCGAATGCCATGACGACCGTGTTCAGTTTCGAGGGCGAAGGGACGGCAACGAAGAGAGACTTAACGGAGAGATCGAGGATGCATCCCCTCCTTCCTCCACCGTGATGAGAAGCAGCAGGGGTCTCGAAGAAGAAAGAAGTAAAAAGGTTCAGAGAGAAGTAAATCAGCACGACGATAATGCAATAAAGACGATTTCAACTTTAAGGTAAAATTTCTATGTTATAGAAAATAATCAGAGATGACTCATCAAACTATTGTTTGATGAACTAGTCTCACGAAAAAGTAAGAATATCAAACCATATAAAAGCTAGACACCATATCAAATTGAAAGAGGGATGACGCGCTTCGTGACTAAAACGAATTAATAAGATGAATAGAAGGTTCAAATCTGACTCTCACTTTACGTATTTACGAGACATAAAATCTCGCAATTTTTGAGAATTTCTCTGTGGAAAATTATAAAAAATCTTAGGATCCAGAGCATAAGATTTCGAAGATTGAGAATCAAAAAAAAAGTTAATTAAGAAAGAAACAAATTCTATAACCTGAAAAGATTAGAGATACGTGAAAAGTCACCTGACGACATACAGCAAAATAAAATCAAAGTGAAAGAAGAATCATCTCTCTGTAAAGCTGACACCTCTATCGTTAAAAAAAGTTCAGATATATGTCATAATTAAGTGTTAATTTATTGCCAATTTACTGCTCTAATTACGAATTTATTACTTTTATCTATTCACAAAAAATTAATATAAAAATGGGTTACTGACTTTCCGTTATGCTAGCACTTCCTACTTCTGAAAATAACATATAGAGCATTATAAACAAAAAAAACCAAATGCTAAAATTTTTTGCTAATTTTCTGCTCTAAATTAATGCAAATATGCAGATATTGCAAATGAACAATCTTGAACAGTTATAAATCAGAGTGTCTACTCAAACTCGATTACTCTATAAATGTAACAATCACTACTGTAATGTATAAAAACAAAGTTAAACAAGTGTGACTACATTAAACTATTTCGAGAAATAAATAATTATAAAATGTCTTATTCCTAAGTTGGTTGCTCCAGAAATACACTCTAAAAATTATTAAAAATAAATAAAATTGAAAGAATAAAATATAATAAACAAATTACGTGCTGAATCTAATTTATTTCTAAAATATTTTTTAGAATTTATTACTCTCAAGATACATCACTTTCAAATTTATTGCTTATTTTTATTTTAATAATAAAAGTTGGATCTTAATATGGTAGCGTAACATACAAGAATAATATATTAGACAAATTAATTGTCCTTTTGAAAATATTTCTAAATATATATCACATTCAAATTTGTTCACTATTTAATAATAATTAATGTTTTTTTTTTAAATACCCACGTAAAGGTACTCTATGTTTCTTTCGTTCGAAGATATAAATTAAATATAATAAATCCAATTTCTATAGATAGAAATAGAACTAAGATTTTAGGAACGATAACGAACACGATAACATTATAGAGAAATGGCAAAGTAAAAGATAAATAAATAACAGGAATCTAAAATATTCCGTGATCTATATGAATTTTTCATAGATCCAGGTACATTCCTATCCCTTCTCCCCTCTTTTGTAACCGAGTCGCGTAAGAAAAAAAAGCAGAGAGATACCACTTACTTAAGGAAGTAGATCTGACCCTCGGGGGTGCGCGCCTGTTCCCATCCGTGCGGCAGTGGACCCAGGTCGTCGACCGTGCTGATGACGTCGTAGCTGCGCTGCTTCTGATGATGGTGATGACGCGCGTGCGGCTGCGGTGCGTGTTGCGGCGCCTGCTGTGCCGACGCGTACGTCTGTTGGAGGGAAGCCGGGCTGCTGTGGGCGCGAGGATGCGAGACGGTGAGGCCGGCCGCCGCTGCGGCCGCGGCTACGGCCGCCGCCGCCGCAACCGCACCTGCGGAGTTATTCGCTCCGCCACCGCCGCCGGCGCCTCCACTACCGCCCCCGGTGCCCGCGGCACCTGCGGCGTTACCGCCACCGCCGCCGCCTCCACCACCGCTACCGCTACCACTCGCGCCTCCGTTGGATGCGCCACCGCCGGCGCCGCCGCCGCCGTTCGGTGTCGCGGTGACCGCGACACCGAACGCGGAATCCGCGGAGTTCTCGCGAGAGTGCGAGATCGAGGGGCTCTTGCTGCCGGTGGACGGCGGATTGAAGAAGGAATCCGGTAGATTGCGCATGCGCAGCGGCACCTGCAACGGCCGCTTGGAGTCGGGCTTCAGGACGGTGTCGAAGAGTGCCTGGAGATCGGACTCGGAATTCTGGTCGACCCTGACGACGGGATTGCTCTTGGTCAACTGGTCCACAACCTCCGGATTGATCGCCATTTTGGATCACACGTTCGCTCGCGCTCTCGCAAACTCCTCCTCTCTCGCCCGTTACTCGCGTCCTTGTCTCCCTTTCTCCGTACGAGCGTATATCAGCTCGTCCTCGTTGCTCTTTCTGCGCCTATCCGTTCTCCGCTTCCGCGCTCCGGCTTCGCTCGCGGACTGCCTCGTTCACGGCGCGTATCCGCGTACATACGACGTAGCAGCTCTCTCTTTCTCTCTTTCTCTTTTTTTCTCTCTCTCTCTCTCTTGGTCTCTTGGCTCATCCACCGTCTTCTATCTTTTTATCCTTTCCCTATGATCGTCTCATTCCTGTGGGATCCACGATCTTCCTCTTCCACCTGCACGTCTCGTCGCGACGGGATAAGACAATCGGGACAATGCCGTCGTTGTCGCCGTTGTTATTGTTGTCGTCGTCGTCGCCGTCGACGCCGCTGGCCGCAGCCACCACCGCTGGGTACCACAGAAGCCGTTCCCCGCGATACCGATGGGGATAGCTCCCTCACGGCCCTCCGCCCCGCTTGGCTTTATCACCGCGCCGCGTTCGATCGCTTCCCGATCTCCGGTGTTACGGGTGGCCCACACCGCATGAGACTGCGGGACTCGCTCTTCTCTTCTCGATCCCCGCTCTTCTCTTCTCTCCGGGCGGCTCGCCCTACCTGCGTGGACTCGTGACGAGTGCGGGAGCACAGGAAACGAGAAAAAAAGAGCGAGCGAGCGAGAGAGAGAGAAAGACGGAAAAACAGACGTAAGGGAGAGAGACGGAGAAAAAAAAGGCGAGAAAAAAGCGCTCTTCTCCAGGGATCCTGCCTTAGCACTCACTGACGGCGTTCACCTAGCGGCAACGCGCGGCACGTCGTCGCTCGGTAGAAACCAAGTTATCCTCTTCAGGAAATCCCGCGAGGTCCCGCGGTACTCACGGTGCACATTCGAGAGAGGCGGCCGACGAAGAAAACCAAAGTCGTCACTCCCGTCGTCTTCTCGCTCCACCGTTCCTCGATACGTCGCTACGTACGACGACGACGTCGGCGGCGACGGCGGCAACGGCGGCAACAAGGAACATGATATGCGAGACGAACCCGTTGGGGATTACTATGGCACCGCGCGCGGGACGCGATCACGATGATCGCGGGGGTTCCTGACACTACCGCTTGGGAGCACGTCGACGCCCGGGAGGCGAGGCTGGCTCGGACGTTAACGGAGCACTTCGAGGAAGTCGTGATCACGAGCACACGACTAGACGCGATGCGACGCGGCACGAAGGAAGCGCGAGGAGAGAAAGAGAAAGAGAGAGAGAGAGAAGAGAGAGAAGAGAGAGAGAGAGGAGGAGAG